TGTAAGTAATGGATATTTTGCGTATATTATTTTATGCAAATCCCAATCAACGTTGTATTTCAACATTTGAATGACCTAATAGGATGTGGGATGAATTCCTTTATTTCGATAAAACGCTAAAAAATTTTTTATCACTTTCATTATTGTTTATCCATTTTTAAATTCTATCTTTATTAAATATTTGGGTACAATTTCAGTGTTTTCATCAATTCATTTTAGATTACAGATTATTTTTAATCTCTCACTGTTTTGCATTTCTATTTCCAATTTTATTGTTCCGATTGCTTCCTATATTTTCATTACAGTTACGGTTTTTCTTCATTAAATTTCATTTTCGTAATTTTTCTCAAATAACTCCTTAAAGGAGAAAAAAAACAAGTCTTTTCTGTCTTTTCTGACTTTTCTTAACTGCACTTTTCTTCCACTGACTTTTTCTTAACTCATCTATTTTTATTACTGACTTTTACTCTGACCTAATTAAGAAAACAGTCTCTATATATATAGAGCTGTTTTCACCTACGCTTAAGACTTTCTCTAATGTGACCTTTACATTAGACATGTCCCAATAACCCAGAAAATTTTAAAAATTAATTTCAAATTGAAATTAATTTTGTAATAATAATTTTGCATAATTCGCAGAATTATTCGTTCTACATACTTTACAGTCTTTACCTTGTCACCATTTCTTTTTTTTCAAAGTCATTTACAATTGACACAGATAATGAATATTGACAAAAATCAGCATTTCTCTTCGACAATTTGTCTTACTGATTTTTTGACTTTTTGTTAATAATATTGCAACTGTAAAAAACCTTGCCTACCTTGATATAATAATAAAAAAAAAAGTAAATAACTAAGTAAATATCTTCAATAAATATAAAGACGATTAGAAGATGCGCAGTATTGCTAATTTGTGTACAGGTCGTTGAACCACTCCACTGCTCATTTTGACGTCAACGACTCTTGTTCTATTGTCGTGCCAATGAATTGCGGACTGGACTTTTTCGAGTTTTTATTGTTTAAGCTGAAGATTGTCTTCTTGCGCGACGATTAGTCGACCGAGCGCGAGATTTAGTTGGTCGATCAACCATTTGGTTTTGAGCTGCAGACTCAGTATGTAGTTTTTCCACCAACACTGCCAGAACCTACGTTTAAGTTCGCAAGTTCGGATACCTGCGTCAACGTGTGTAGAGAAACCCCTAATAGCAGATGCCCTGGTATTAGAGCCTCGAGGTCGTTTTGATCTTGAATTAGCGCAGTAATAGGCCGAGAGTTCAATACGGCTTCGATCTCTACAAGAACAGTATGCAGCATCATGAGAATAGTGAGTGAATGAGTAGAAATCATGAGAATCTGTAATGTCAGACACAAAAGCTTCTTCATAGTAATCAATTACTATATAATTTCTAATATTATGATATTCTTTATTTCTTGTTTTCTTTTTTATTTTTTGTGAAAGACTTGGTTCTAATCTTACTAATAGATGATGTATTAGGTCCGCATATGTTGCAATCCTGGAATTCTTCCTACTGTGAAATAAGCGACCTTTACGTATTTGATTCTTAAGTTTCTTCAGATAATAATCCAGTACGGAAATCAAATGTTTTATTTCTATCCATTCCATGAATAAGTACTTAATGAACACTGACATGCATAAAAAACCATTTGTAATTTCTCAAGTGCGAGTAAATTGTCCTGGTTTTTTTAAAAAGTTTTTTAAAATGTATTGTATTTATGTGATGTCCACTAAGATACGAAGCTGAAAATCTTAAATTAATCTAATCAAATAACCAGTGACGGCGCATGCCCTAACTGGAATGGTGTGCCTCAGCGAAATTAAAATTGCGGGGCCCCTTGCATTACCGAGTTATAAAAGTAAATAATTTACATTCACTTTATCATTTTATTTTATTGCTAATCAAATTAATACAAACACAAACTCAAATAAATGAATTTTCCAACTTTAAGTCTCACTGAATTTTTTTAAAATTACATCATAATTTGCACCAGCTGCTAGTTTTGCTTCAATTGATAAAATTGCCAAAGCAGATAGTCTCTCTTGACTCATTGCACTTCTCAAATAGGTTTTATTAATTTTAGCTTTGAGAAGCTTCTTTCAGCAGATGCTGCACTGACGGGAACTGTAAACATGATTCTGTACTGACTGGAACTGTAAACATGATTCTGGTTACTATATAAACATTTGGATATACTTCCTCAAAATTATTTTCTTTAATATATCGGATGAGTTGCTTCATATCGTTGACTGAGTCTAGTGAATTCGATTTAAAAAGTAGCAATTCCTACTTTTGTCGTAGTTTTCACTTTCCCAAAGTATTATACCTAAAGCATTACAATGCTTGAGAAGGTCTTCGTTTCGTATATTTTTTTTATAGTCTTTCTTTAGTCTTTTAATATCATATATGAAACCAAATTGTTCAAAATATCCATTAAGTATTTTAAATCGACAGTCGGTATCAATTACAATAATATCTATCATTATGGTAAAAAAGTTTACTTTATATTGTATTTCAACAGATTGTATGGGGTCATCAATATGTTGATTACTGAACAATCGTTTCTTATTTGTTATTATTGTTTCTTTAAATTTAGGTGCAATTTTGTAACTACTTTTTTTTACAAACAATTGGCTTGTTTAACGGTTTTTTCAAATCCAGTATTCCGATACTCTTTTATCCAATTACGAATATAATTAGTATACTGTCAATAGAAATCTTGAAGTTTACTTAATTCCATTGCCATAATTTATTTATATTGTTCACTCTTAGCAAAATCTCGTATCAAACGTGTATGGCAACAATAAATTCGAAAGTTAGCATTTCATTCATGTCTGCTTCACAATCGCTTAGAGTTTCAGAATCATAAGTTTGATTTTTCAGGTCAATCACGAATTCAATTACATCATCAAATTGCAAAAATATCGCTAATACTGCTCCGATTCTACTCTCCCCTCTTGTTTCAGAGACAGATTTTAAGATCAATTTGAATTTAGTTTTTAAAAGATCCCAACACTAATACGTATTAGGTGCTTCGGTAGTGTAAGATCATATTTGGATAACTTAAACAGATCTATGAAATGACCACTATTTACACTATCGTCCATGCTAAGGGATTCTCGATGAGCTCTTAATGGCAAATTATGAGAGGCTAAGAATAAAAAAATAAAAATATTTTTGCGATTCTCTAATCAATTTCTCGTTTTCCTTAAAAACCATAAATGGTTTATTAAAATTATTAAAAACAATATTAATAAATTTAAATATATATTTATAATTAATTATATTTACAAAAATAAAATAAAATAATAAGAAATAAGTATTAAAAGTAGTTCAATATTTCTTATTGAAAACTTAATGATAATATTAATTACATTTTTTAAAATACTAGAGATAGATATTAAATTAAATATTACTAAATATTAATATACAACTATAGTATGTGCAACGTACGCACGAATAATATCCCGTCTGTCCTTTTACTCCCAATATAAATGATCGAGCTGGTGCATCCATTATAATATTATAAATATTCAAATATTAATTACAATTTCAATTCAGAAATAAAATTGCATTGTATTTAGTACATTACATATTTAAAGTCATTAACTTTGAATAATAAGAAATCAAAATATTACTCTCCTATATACGAGGGTGGTTTGATAAGTCAGTGACTTTTTGAATTTCCCGCGCAGTTACTCCAAATGCAACAGTGCTGCCGTCAGCTGAAATCTTCCAATGGGTAACTTTTTCGTGAATTTTTACGAAAATGGAAAAAAGTGAATTTCGCCATTTTTTTAGGTTTGGAAACAGAAAATAGTCGCAGGGGGCTAACTCTGGAAAATATGCTGGATGAGGTAGCAGTTCGTATCCCAATTCGTGGATTTGGGATCGTAATGCTTAATCAGCATACGAAATTTACTCTTTTCCATTTTCGTATATTTATTAAAATTATTTTATTATATATATTATCGTCGGCTAAGAGCGGACGATGCTGTGAAAACGGTACTTTATAGACATAAGAATCCATTATAAATATTCTTTAAATGAAAAAATGTTTTTTTAATATTATATTAACCATTTTATTATGAACTGTAATGGTATTTTAAAGCTAAATTATGAACAATGTTTTTTCTTAGGCAACCTTGAGCGTTTATATATATATCAGACGGTGTTCCAGCAGGGGAACAGGCAACATATAATTGCCCACGCCGAAAAATGGATTTTCCAAATCCAGTGATTGATTTGGAAAATCAGTGTTTGACGTTGAGTAACGAACAGACGAACAAACGATTTTAAATACATAGATACATAAGTTTAATATTATATAAATATGACATAAACACAACTTTTCACATACTTCTCATAACACAAAAACAACTTTTTTCAAACAAAATAGTCAGTACTCAAAACCATACATTTATACGCAGTGATCAAACAACATCGAACACACTTGCAACGTATGAATATGCGGCTTATTTTTTCGCACAATTAAGTGCTTTGGCAAATCAACATGTTGGATTCATATGCATTCAGTTGATATTCGAATAGAAAAGAATAATAAGTCTAATACTTATTTTGTCGCCCATTTGACGACAGAAATTTGTAAATGCAATTGCTTAAAAGGGAAAGACGAAATATAATAAAAATGTTCTGCGATTTGAGCTGCAAACATGTGAGCACAACTAACAACTATAGCAGCTAAAAGAAGAAAATAAATTGAGTTTTCATAGACAATTCTATTTAATTAATCTATTTAATATTAATTCTCGATGTAAAGATATTTTAATGACTTATATAATTTATTTGACACTTATCAAATTATGTTAAGGTGCTCCGCATCTTATAGCAGTCGTCACTGTTGTATATATATATATATATAAATTCATTATATATATAATATGTATATAATGGGTTTTATGTATATATATATGCTTATTTAGTATACATAGATAAATCCATAATGCATATATGTTGTTTTAGGACATTCAACTTGAGGCTGGTCCTCAAGATGGCACCATTTTAGTAACATGGCAACCAGTTAATAGACCAACGTCGTCTGGACCTGTAACCGGCTACGCTGTGTATGCTGATGGAAAAAAAGTAACTGATATAAATTCACCAACTGGTGATCATGCTCTAATAGATATTGGAAAATTGGGTGTATTTAATCCCAGAGCTGTCACAATACGGACGAAATCCAGAGATTCGCAATCAGCTGATAGTACACCTATTTTGATACCAAGTATAGTTTGTTCAATCAAAATTATACATATATGTTTGTTCAAATACTTATGTTTTAGATGCGGTTCGTAACGCTGTTGGAAGAAGAGGACCAAATCAGATGGGCATGGGTCCGCAACAAATGCAACAAGGACAGCTTGGAGGTCCTAATCAAATGATTATGCCTGCCCAGCAACAAACTCATGTGATGAGTCAAGACCAATATGATCCCAACCAAATGCAGCAAAGTTTACAACAAAACGTGCAGTCAGGACAGCAACCTATACAATCAGGACAACAGGTAACCAAAAATAACAACGCATACATTTAAAAACTTAAACTTTAGTTTAATTACAAAAACGTTACACTTATTTCTATTAAACAAATGTACATAATTACATACCTAGTGTAAGTTACAAAGCTCACTTCAATAGAAAAATTCTTTATTGACTATTTAATTTATACACAATATTCCTATTATTTAAAGAAAATTATTATTTAAATTAAACAACAGAACTTTTAAAATATGTTTTGCTGCTTCCAATTCATTTTTTATTTGGAACTAATTTTTATACTAATATTGCTTAGATTGGACGTGGGTTACAGAAATATTTATTTAATTGATATATATTCTGTAATTCAATCTGTTTTATAAAATTGTGGCAAATATGATAAAATCGACTATATGAAATATAAATTATTATATTTAAATTTTGTTTTAGTCCTCAAATTAATATATTAAAAGACCCAATCCATGGCTAAAAATCATTTTATTAGGAATTGATGAGAAAATTGAATGCGAGTATTTTCAGAAATTTTTTTTTAATATCTTCAGATTGATTAGGAAACAATCATAACATTTACATTTTAACAAGTATTCGAGTGTTTAAATGTTATCCTCATATCTTTAATGAATTTTAGAAATATATTAAAAAATAATTTTTTTTTAAATTTAGATTACGAATATTTAGAAATGCATAATTATATTAACATATATGCTTATTATGATAAATACTAGATATGTTAAAGCCGGCACTAATTAAAGTAAAAATTTATTCAGATTGTGATGTTACAATATATTATAATAAATATTATTTTGAGCATGTAAATATTAAAAATAAAATCAGACAATATAATTTTAACAATTTGCACTGATTTATAATTTTCCCCAAGATGTTTATGTCATATTTACTGATATAAATACATAAATATTTGTAATTTCTTTAAACAATATTTTATCAAAAATAAATCAATACAAAACTTTTTAAACAAAACAAATCATCATCATTAAATGCAGCACGATGGAAGCTCTGGTTTATTGGGTGGGCTTCTTGGTGGGCTCTTTTCGAAACCAAATCCAAATCAGAGCCAAGTGAATCAAAATGTAAATGTAAGTTACTCATCCAAATAACATTCTATACACCTTTATTAGTAACATGCTACAAATATATAGATCGTTCCACGGTTCCGTTTTAAGTACATATTTTGTTAGAAGTTAATGCATTTTAGTCAATTCTGTTACACAACTTATTATTAATCTATAGCACTAATATAATATTAGTAATATTAGTACACATAACTTAGTACACACAAATCTATAAATATAATATAATATTAGTATGTTAAATAATCTGCAATGTTCATATATACATAATGATTTTGTATTTGCAAAGTTTTTTTAAAGTTGAAATATATGTTAGCAAGTTTTATAATTATATTATAACTTAATATTTATATTTATTTAGTATTTAAGAATATGCTTTTATTGTATTACTGTTTGGAATTTCAAAAGATAATTTTTTTATTAACTCATCTTATATTAAACTATATGTGCATATTATATAGGAGAAGAGATGAATATTTTGCTAAATTACTATTTTTTGCGATTAGTAAATGAAAAATTTAACGTTGACAATCATATTATTCTAAATTAATATTTTATTTAATTAGTTAGAATGAGCATTTAAAAAAGGCAACACTTAAAGAGAAATACCATGAAAAACTAAAATAATAATAAGTGGTTAGGAGTATTCATGCGTAGTATAATATATACCTATGTATATGAAAAACTATAAAGCAAAGTTATTTAGTTCAACGTCTGTAATGGGAATATGCGTCATATGTTTTAATGTAGAAATTACTATAATATTTTTAAGGGTATATAAGATTATTATTGAAAAAATATAATTTATAACTGTTTTACACACAAAACTGTGTACACATAACTGTGTAACGTAGTAAAAATATTTCACTTTTTCTGTTTTTCAATTTTCTACGGGTATATATATTTCTATCTATATACATTTTTTAGTGAAAACAGATTTTAGAACCTAAAACTATTAGATAAATAGTAAAAATTTTACTGTATTTATATATCAATACATGCTACTGACATACATTTATACTTTTATACATTTATACATTTATACAAATATATATATTTTATATTAAAAAGCATTTTGATTTGTTTTAAAGTACTTTTAAAGCTTCGTACCTTGCTTTATACAGTTATAATTTTTTTAATGTTTGAATCTATTAGCTTTTGTTCAAAAACGTGTTTTATTAATTTAAAAAATGCTGTCAATACAAATCCATTTAAATTATTTTTGAAGCCTTTAACAAAATAAAACAAAAATATTTAAATTAACTTCAAATCAAAATAAATAAAATTTTGAAAGGGCTATCAACCAAATACGACACAGCGAAATATAATTCAGGGGCGTGCGCAAGGTCCACAAATGATAGGAACCCATCAACAGCCATATATGGCGCAAGGTCAGGTGAGTCAAATGAACCAACAAAGATTTCCTGGTCAAAGAGCGGCACCTACTGGCCAAATTCAGCCGCAAATACAAGGACAAATACCAGGACAAATACTAGGACAAATACCAGGACAAATACCAGGACAAGTATCAGGACAAATGTCAGGACAAATTCCAGGACAAATGCCGGGACAAATGGCAGGTCAAATGGCAGGACAAGTGCAAGGACAAATGCAAGGTCAAATGCAAGGACAAATTCAAGGGCAGATACAAGGACCATTGGGACAGCGGACAATTAATCAAATACAACAAGGTCAGATAATTCCTGGTCAACAAGGACAACAACATCTGGGCCCCCAGAAGAAACCACGTTATTTTGTTGCAATGTTTGATTATGACCCTAGCACAATGAGTCCCAATCCGGATGGATGTGATGAAGAACTGCCATTTCAAGAAGGTGATACAATCAAGGTAAGCATAAGTAAATTAATTAAAATATATAAAATGTATATGTAAAATAAAAATGGACCAAAAATAATCTTATAAATATATTACTGAAGTATCTATCTGCTTCATAAAAATATTAATGATTCGAAAGCGTACAATGAAATGCAACACTTATTAATATTTTAACAAAGTTCATTTATAAGCATATTCAAAAATTTTTTACATTTATCGATGCCGTTATAATCACATAATAATCTAAAATTATGAATACATATATTTATTATGAATGAATATATAATAAGTAGTAGACATACTTAATTATAACATAGCTTTATTATTTTTTTTAATGTTAATATGTACGAGTATTAATTAGTTCAAGTGGTTCCAAAGCAATATATTGATTTCCATTTATTAATTCATAACTTCAGTATGAATTTTAATTTTTATTGTAGTTTTGTTCTTTTCTTGATAATTAGTATTGAATAAATAACTTTTTGCGGAAACGAACCACTCTAATATGTATATTATTTAGTACAAATACTATAATGCATATTATATTTCTAAATAACTATTTTTATTTTACATGTTTATATCAGGTTTATGGTGACAAGGATGCGGATGGGTTTTACTGGGGAGAATTACGTGGACGTCGTGGTTATGTGCCTCATAATATGGTAACAGAAGTTGATGATGGCACAGGTCAAATACCTGGTACATCTCAGACAGGAGGTCCAGGTCAAGTTATGCCAGGTCAAGTTGTTCCTCAACAAAGCATGCGTAATGTTAGTCGCGATCGTTGGGGTGACATATATGCTAATATGCCAGTCAAACGTATGGTTGCGCTGTACGACTATGATCCTCAAGAATTGAGTCCAAATGTTGATGCCGAAGTAAGTACCTGAATTGATTAAAAAAATATTCTTTCTTATGATATAAAAATTGGTCTGATAATTGGTCTAATAAATCAAGTTACACTTTTATAAAAATACGCAAAAAAATTTAAAAAATTAATTGAAATGTTATTTTTTAAAATATAAAAACATGTTAATTGATTGAAGGATTGAACACGTTTGATGTTTTAGTTAATGTATGTTAACTTGTAAACAGAGATTGAAATAGTTTGCTCTATCCAAATTATTTTCTCTTTTAAACCCAACTGCAGGTGGAATTAAGTTTTAAAACTGGTGAAATTATTCTTGTTTATGGTGAAATGGATGAAGATGGTTTCTATATGGGTGAATTAGATGGTGTGCGCGGTTTAGTACCATCAAATTTCTTAGCAGATGCACCTGATCAATATAGTAACCAAATGATGGCGACTGGTGCTCCCAATTTACGTGGGGGTCTAAGTCAGCGTGGGAGAGGTCAAGGTCCTGGTGCAAGAGGTCCACCTCCACCTCCTAGAGATAATATGATGCCAGGAATTGCTGGTCAACGCGGTCCACAAGGCAAAAGTGAGTTTATTTTGTGAAGATTTAAACATTTGTTAATAATTTTAATAACATTTCCAGTATTTTTATTACTAATTAATATTAGATACAGAAAATATAAAATATATATAAGAAATATATATTTAATTATTTAATATAGGAACAGGAATTATTTTATAAAAAAATAACAAAGCTGATTCACTTTGCTAAAATGAATAGGATTAAAATTTTTTTTTAATTTAATTAAAAACTATTTTATAAGTATAAATATATATATTTGTAGTGAAAGAATATTTAATATAGAGTTTAAGACATTCTAAAATTTTAAATGGTATGAATATATCCAAAAATATGTACAAAAATATTTTTTACACACGACAAAGAAACAAACTCTTTATTGCAGCAAATGTTTATATAATATGTATCTTAATTTTTTACTTTTTTAAAATACAGTTTACAATTTTCTTCTTTGTAAAATAACTGTTTTTCATATTTCTTTTAAAAATTTAATTTAAAATAATTTATTTCGCACATTTTTTTAAAAAAGATTTCTTTAATATAATTAGTTGTTGTTTTTGTTGTTGTATATGTTATATATGTTATATAAATTGTTATTTATAAAAAATTCGCGAAATATATATTATTATATATGAATTAAATGGTTGTCTGTTCTAGTTGGTGTGGAGATACGACTATACGAGTATACGAATATATTTTAGTAACTGATTTTAGTTTAAATTTAATAAAATAAAATTGCCACAAAAGTAAACTTGACGGATAACTCTTAAAAAAGATACGTGCGCGGTTTGACAAGACAGTGACTTTTTGAATAAAACAAATTTTTTCGGCAAATAAACATTTTATTTTTCTACATAATCACCTTTTAGCTCGATACATTTAGTTCAGCGTTTTTCTAATTTTCTTATTCCCTCCAAATAATAGGTTTTCTCAAAGCTCTCAAAATACACGTTTATTTCGGTAATGACTTCTTCATTCGACTCAAATCTCTTACCGCCCAGCCATTTCTTTAGGTTTGGAAACAGAAAATAGTCACAGGGGACTAAATCTGGAGAATATGCTGGATAAGGTAGCAGTTCGTATCCCAATTCGTGGATTTGGGATCGTAATGCTTAATTAGCACACGAAATTCACTTTTTTCTATTTTCGTAAAAATTTACGAGGTTGTCTGCTTTAAACGGCTATCAAACACCAACTGAATAACGTAGTTTGATCAAAATTAAAAAGTTGCCCACTGGTAGATTACAGCTGACAGCAGCACTGTTACATTTGGAGTAACTGCGCGGGAAATTCAAAAAGTCACTGACTTATCAAACCGCCCTGTATCATTTTAATAATAATAGAAATTATTGGAAAAAAATGAATAGTTTTTATTATGACTATAAAAACCATGTCGTTTATTTGATTTTATTTTTTTGCGTACCATTTTGTTGATTATTGTTTAATTTATGTGTGTACCTAAATATACAAAATTTTTGAAATGATCTTGCATGTTTTTGTATTATATGCTTATGTTACAAACGTGATTCTAGTTGTTCTCAATATGCACAAATGATCGATTTGCTGATAAAAGTAGTTTACATTGTATTTAATTTTTTTAAATTTAACATTTTATAATGTTAATGATTAAAATTTTATATCAAGATTTACGTATATTATTTAAAAAAGATGCAGATATCTTGCAAATAACATTGATAAGTAGTAATTTTAAAACTGGTGAAAATATTTATAAGATGTTTTGTAGATATTGATCTGACATTGATTTTCAAAATCAATATTGCAGGTGTATCGATTCACATACGAACTATAAACAAATCAACTAAATATTTCAAATATTAAATACTAAGTTATTGATGGGATGTAAACGTACATCAGATTATTTAGACTTTTTTTTTTGTTTGTGACAGTAGGTGGAAGCATCGAAAGCCACCGTGTGGGAGTTCAACCCACTAAATCACCTCTTAGGAATAAATGGAGAAGATTTTCACAGCATTGTAAAAACCTCATTCCAGTAATCAGGGGAGAGAGGAGAATAAATAGACTTAGTACCTAACGAGCTAGATTTATCTAAGCCAGAAAGCAAGGGCGTACATTAGGGAAATTGGCGGTAAACTTTGTGACTGGGGTCACAAAAGACGCGGTTATATAGTGAAATGGAATTGAGGTTACGGTCCCACTCATCGAGGTAGTGGAACAGGTATTGGGGAGGTTTAAAGCGCAAGGTTAGAAAAAGATCTTCAGGCAGGGTAATAGAAATAGAGACGTCAGGGGAAGGTCATGGAGCCGGGTGAGGTACCTACGAGCGAGTGTCAAAAGCTACCCGTCAATGCGAGTGATCTTGTCATTGTCGTATAGGACAGAGATGGAGAAGTGCCGTCAGGTTTGCGCTTATAGTTGGCGCAATTCCAAAGAAGTTTCTGCTCAAGCAGGCAGATTCAGACCAGATTGAGTCCTATTATTTTTATAAATTTCACATGCAATTATCAAATCTTTTCCGTGTTTTTAACATAAAATTAAATTCACATGAATTTATATTTTAAAATACATATACGTATATGTCTACTTCATTCAATATATGATTATCATTCTTATATCTATTCTAAATAGTTCTGAATAATAAATAGTTCTGTTCTAAATTTTACAAATAAATTTTGTTCACAATATCGTGAAGAATATTTTATTAAAGTTGATAGATAGCTATGTTTAAAATAAAATTTTACATATATGTTTGTTTATATGTCAATATCCTGTTGTAGCTTTTTGTTTTTAATTTGCTCATATATCTCCTTTTTATTATATTCAATTTTTTGATTCTTTAATATTTTAAAAGTTTCCTCTCACCTTATATGGATGGTCTTAACTATAGATGGTATTTAAGAAATTATTTAAATAATGCTTGTTGTTTAAATAATGTATAATAAAACGTTATACTTTACGTTTCTTGTTAGATACTTTCAAATGAATTTTAAGAAAAAAGTTATCCAGAACTTAAAGTAAATATTCAATTAACTCTTACAAGAGCTTTCTGTTTATTGTTTATTGTTTATTATTTATTTAAAGAACAATGCTTGCTTGCGTTTGTGTTTAACAGCAAATTAAGAAAAAACAACAAAAACAACAGCATTAAACATTTTTATTTTTATCGTGTGGGGAATCGAATAGAATTTTGTGTAAATAAATAAATAAAGAAGAAAGAAATAAAAATTTTGCATATATGTATATACAATTAACTTTTACAACTAAATATTTAAAGCATAATATATCATCATTCTATGCATCAAATTTTAATAAAATAAAATAATCAAAAAAACAAAAGTGATATATATATATATATATGTATATGTATATGTATATATATCTGTCGTTTACGAGATATCTAATTTTAAAGATTAAAATACGATACACTAACTTAACAGGTAAAATGTTAAATTTATTATATTCCAGTATACTCAATGAATATATCTGTTTTTATTAACAAGAATTTATGTATATGTATATATATTTTAAAATTTTTTTTTGTTTTCAAAATTTAAATTTTAAAAGAAAAAATATAAGTAAAAGGTTTGAAATACTTGCTAATGTATATATATCAATTAATTTAGGACTTTGTTAAATTTCAAATGTTGTGCGAGTATTAGAATAACAAATTTGGAATGGTGTTCCTTCATATGGCTCGTTTTATATCAAACGAATGTCTAATATTGAATGTTTTTTTGATAATAAACCATTTAAATTTAATCAATATATCAATAATGTATATTGAATTTTAGTGAAAAGGATATTTTTATTTAATTTACTACAGTTCTTGTTTTTAAACTAATTTTCATTTTGATATATTTTTATAAGAACAAACAAACTTTTCAAGTTAAGTTAAATTTTTCTAATGTTTTATATTTATATATAATTTGATATAATTTTTGTAATGGTCTGCTGTGGTAAATGTGAAGTCTTTATGTTATATTTGTTGCTATAGATGCTCGCCCTGCTTCCCCTACACTGTTAGACAACACGGGCCATCCTGCCCCCGATCACCAAACGCAGGTAAATACTCTATCAATTTTTTCATTTTTTAAGAAATAAAAAGCAATTTTTCTCTATTTTACTATCTTGCTATCTATTTCTCTCATAATTTTTTTTAAGTTTATTTGTTTCAACGCCACAACAGTTATTTTTTAACTTTTAAACAGTTACCCTATAATCACTCAAAAAAAAAAATAAAACAACAAATAAAAATAAATTAATTAAAATATAAAGAATACAAATATATAAATAAATTAAAAACCCTCTATCAAATAATGATTTGATCGAATTTGCTATTTTTTAGTTGAATTTTGAGTCAAATTTAACATTTTGAATTATACCACTCACATTTAAGGCATAAAAATTATTTAAAACCCATTTATCTTTTAACTCTTTCTTTCTATTTCTATTACTTGTTGTAAAAAAGCTTACAGTACAGTATAAAACAAATATGAAAATAAATTTTATATATAAACCATGAACTCGTATACAAAATACAAAATATTTTATGTATAGCTAGCAACATGAGACAAACTTGTTTAGTTATCATTTGCAAGAATTTTTTATCTAACACAATAATATGATATATATTAGTTTATATATAATTAAGCACTTGTAATTTAAAAATTAATTACTGTGATATTGTCATTGTAATATACAATAATATGTGTTGTAAATACATATTGTAATATAAAGCAAAGAGTATATCCTGCTCTTTTCCAGCATCAAAAATGTTGAACACACAAACATTGCATTTGAATACACATTCCTACATTGGCACGAACATTTACAGAACAGCTCATGGATCACTATTTTCGATAATTTATTTATACAATATTTTAATTTTTTTATTTAATTAAAAAAAAAAAATCTAATAATTATGAATTCAATTATATCTAAAGTTTTAAACGTAGAACTCTTAGAATTCTACAGCTAATGGATTTTAATGGCATAATTCATATGAATATACTACTTACGAAATCATATAAGAAAATATATTTTCAACATTATAAGTATTGTATTAGTTTATTACATTTTATTTAACACTAACATATATTACATTTATTTATGAATATATGTACGAATATATATATTTCTAATAAAGTTCAATATACCATATAATCCTCAAACGATTGCAACGGTTTGTAAGGAAACTTCTTTAGAAACTAATAATTTTGTTTGTATACATATTGTAGGGAAACTTGAACACATCCTTTCAAGTACCACCAACGTGGCGAGGTCTGTCGTTTTCCAATGTTAGATATATATACATAACATGAACTGAATTATACACTAATACATACAATATATGTATCTCTAAATACACAATCACGTTTCCGATAAGTTTCCCGAATTTTCAGTGTTTAGTTTAACTGAAAACCACTAATAAATACAAATTTTTATACATTTTGGTAATTATCAAAAATGTCAAAAAATTGGTATCGTACTTATGATTAAAAACTATATAATACTAAATAGTGAATTAAGATATTTTTTTATTATACTAAAGGTTTGTTTTGTATTTTGTTTACATTATGTAATCATATTTTTCCTATTTTATGTTATATAATCATTCAAATATGTTCTCTATAAGAAATTTATAGATAATATGGTATATATAAATGATTTAAAAGTCTCTTAGTGTTAAATGTAAATAGAGGTTTAATTAGGATGTGTAATGATTTTGCATGGTATCTAAAAGTGCTAGGCAGTCAGCGGTCTCCGTTACTTAATGCCGCCACTCATTTTTTCCAGTTAAAACAAAGTTTGGATCTTACAAGGATCTACACATTCATTGTACTCGTATATATACATATTACGTGTATCAATATAACGTATATTATGTATATATTACATATTATATATTATAGGTAATACGCACGAAAAAAAATTTTAAATCAATAGATTAATAAACAATCGCTATGTGTGCTGTGAGTTTTACAATTACTTGCTTTACAGAATTATACTTTATAAATTTTACATTTAATTCTTCTCCACAAAAATCTATTGAAAATTACGTAGACATCGTGTGAAATTGTTCGGATATGAAAAAAATTCTTTAATTTATAATATCGATTTTAATTATTACATTTACAATTAAATACAAATTATTAAATTAATAACATGGTTTATGTTCTCGTACATATTTGTATTCAACTTTTTCACATGTTTTTTTACTTAATCGTTTATTATAATTTTATATATAATATACATGATTTTTCTACTCATATAAGCTATTGAAATAAAATTATATAAAAATTTTATATTGGATGTAACGCTGTATAAAGGTTCTATGTGATTCACTGTGTGTGCAAAAATTTTATTTGTGATTTTATTTTTAATAATATGTTTTCATATTGTATATTTTAGTGTTTTAGTATTTTTTTAATATAAATGTCACTTTCACTATTAGCTGCTTTTAATATTTGTAATAAACTAAAGCGTCTATTTTCGTAATGCAAAAATTTCTTTCGTATCATCTATTAATTCAGTTCTGTTCTAATTTTTTATTTATTATCCAAAATTTTCACATATATATATATATATATCAAATACATTTGAAGATTACATATAAAATTAAGGAGCGTACACTCAATTTATTATTTATTTATTTATTTAAATTTCCATAAAACAACTTGAACATGTGTTAATGTATTGTATTTAATATAATATAGATTCAGTCTTAGGATATAATTATAATATTCATAAATATATAATTAAAAATTCTTAAGTAAAATAGTTTTAACATTTAACATTTAACGTATATACATATAATACAATTATCGAAAAATGTAAATCTAAATGGATGCATTTGTATATAGAGAATTATATATAATCTGAAATTTTTTATATTTTATATATACTTTTATAACATAGGTATAAATTTTTTTTTAGAATTTAAAAACTTGTTATTTTATTAACTTTAATATGTTCTATAATTGAAAGCGATATTAAGAGAAATTATTTAGTGTGTTAAAGTTTTAATTAACGACAATAAAAAATTTTGTTAAGAATTTTGTTGAAGTTGCTAGTTCTACGTATAATTTATTTATTTCAATTGCTCAGTTTTGCAGTTTTTTTATCTCTAAATTATATAAGAATATGTTACTGTTTGCATTATTATCTATTTTACTACTACCATCTAGACAGAACTACAATATAAAATCCAATGAAATATCTTATTGTCAAGATCTTAAATATTTTTGAGAGTTTTTGATTACTAAATGGCACATGTTACTAAACCATAATGATATCCATCACAACCGATTACATTCTTCTCTAGTTATATTCCTCTCGTTTGATATATAAAATGTCGAAACAGAGTTGAGTCAAATGAATCAATTAATAAAAATAGAACATAATTAGTGAATTCAGCTATGAAGCTATATAAATGAAGCAATCTCAGATGTGATCATTATTTTGGTAATAAGTATGTCAATATTATAATCCGGTAATAAAACATTAAACACAGTTAAAACACTTAATTTTCTCTGGACATCTATGTATTTAAATATTGATGACATACATTTTCATACAAGTAAATGCGCTTAAATTTTATGACAACAATTTAAAAAAATTAATTAAAATTTGAATAGTATAAAGCTTTTAAAAGTAATCAAAAATGACCAAACAAATATTTTTTTATCTGAGAATAAATATTTTTCCTAAATTTGTAGATTTGCTTGTTTAAAAACGGGATTCATATATGTAATTAATTACTAGTTGGTATGCATTATCAGAATTGTTAAATTTGTATTTGAAATAGAAATGCTAAAAAGTGCAAAATCCCTTTAATTTAATCCAGAAAAGTTTAAATTGTTTTATTTAATTCATAACTACTTTCATGCAACATTTTAAGACATGCAAATTTGTATTGTATTTTGCCCTTTATTAGAATTTACGGCATTAAAATAAGAGTTATAAGCAATGCAACTAAAATACAAATGTTTCAGGCAATGATCGGACGCGTTGGTAATGTCGGCATACAACAACAACAACAACAACAACCTTATGGTCAGCAACAAACACAAATAGGACAGCAAATTCAGCAACAACATCAACAAGTGGGCATGGGGCAAATAGGGCAGATGGGGCAGCAAACGTTGGGACAAATTGGCACATTGGGTCAACAACAACAATCCCAAATGGGGCAGTTCGGACAGCAGCAACAAATTGGTCAAATGGGACTTATGGGACAAATGGGTACAATTACTCAACAACAACAACAGCAACAACAACAACAACAACAACAACAACAACAAGCGCCACCTGTTACAACGCAGTCGTCTGGTGGAGGTTTGTTTTCAGGTGCGACAAATTTATTATCGGGTGCTACGTCGGCTGCCACCGGTGGTCTATTTGGTTCAAAACAACCACCGAAACCAGATCCAATGCAACCACCAAGTGGTGTGCAGCCAATGCAGCAACAGCAACAACAACAAGTGCCACCACAGGCGCAACCGCCACCGCCACAAGGTCAAGGCCCCGGTACCGGATTATTGGGCGGACTTAAAGGTATTGCAGCGGCGGCGCCTGGAGGCGATGTATTATCGAAAGGAAAGGATCTATTTGGTAAATTCGGATTCGGCTTTGGCAAATAACCCCGGTCATTATGTAGGTTATTCTATTTCTATGATTACGACTATTTCGATTATAATATGTTAATAGTGCTAACATTTTTTGTTAATAAAAATTTATAGGAAAATAATAAATGAAATCGAATCAAGATTCAAATTAGAAATGAGAAAATTAAAGAAAATATATATATTCTTTACATAAGAAAAGTATTGTTATGAAATGAATATAAATATATATGAGATAAAGGAGTATATGAGTATATGAAATGATAAAGTTTATTGATAAAATTCAACTGAGATTACAATAGTATAATAAATAAATTATATATATTATTAAAAGTGAATATATTAAATTCATCAAAGTTCTTTGCGTATATATTATATACACACAATTACATATTTACATATACATGCATTTAAGTATATAAATAAATAAATAAACTATATATTCTTAAAAATATTAATTATAGAAAATGCAAAAGCTAATATAAAAATTATTATATTTACAATTATTTGTTACGCACATTGTTAAATTTGCTACTGTTGCTGACCAGTTTGTATCTAAAATTATTAAAAATTATTATTAAAAAAATATAAATTTTAAATTTATCTATAATATAAGAATCATACATAACACATACATATATAAATTAAATTTATTAAATCAAAACCACTAAGAATTAAATTTCTTTTATAGTATATTTTAATCAACAACAACAACAAAAGGAAATATTAATAAAAACAATAAAATAAAAACGGAAAATATAAAAATATAAAATAATAATTAATTTTTAAATTTAAGAAAAAACAAATAGAAAAGCATAAAATAACATATAATATAATAAATAACAGTGAATACTATATGCAATACTAAAATCTATAGGAAGTACAAGAAAAGAAGTACATTTAAAAATTTTTATGCAAAATTTTTTTTTATTTTATTTGATTAAATGTTCTATTTAATTTTAAAAATGTTTAACATTTAACTAAAATCTTAGTCGCGGGCAAATCTTTACTTTATAATATATTTTAATAGAACCCTACTGCATAAGGATCTTCCAATCTTATTTTTAGATATAAAAATAAGTGCAATCATTAATAAGATAAGAGCAAGTATTTTTAAAATATATATTCCATATTTAAAGCTTATTTAAAGCACAATAGGCCTTATAGGTTCCGATGTATCATTGTCCCTTCCAATAATAGTAGTATATTACCTTAATTAATAATCGCTTTACATTATTCTTATTTGAAATATTTTTCTCTTAAATTTTGATTATTAACTGTTAAGACATATTAGGTCTATATGTGTTTACACATATATATTTAAAATATTATTGGACGACAGTTTTAAATTCAAAAGAACGGCAGTTTTAATTTCAAATCCAATATATGTATATGTATAATAACTTTCGAGGCTTGTATTTCTTGTTGGTAATGGCTACATTCGAATTGCTTTTGCAACGCTCTTTCTTTATTATAATCAATATTAATTTGGTTTTTATAAATACAAAAAACAAGTACCTCTAAGCTTAAAGAATAATTATGAATTTACAAATTATATATATGAAAAGTGCAACACTCTAACACTCAACCACATACATACTATGTTAGTTTATTTATTTATTATAATTGAATAAAAACTCAAATGGGTGAACAAAAACACACACTCTTTCTTGTTTAGTGATTACATAAATATTCAAATATACTTAAATTAGCAAACGGAAACTGCAAACCAACTTTTTTGACAATTTACATACATATATTATAATACATACATATATCTAGTAATCTAGTAATCTTTATCTATTTTGATATGACAACGTAGCCCAAATACATTTTTATTTAGTGCAATTCTGAAATAAGTAGCAATTAACTATTTAAATGAATTTCAAATAAACAAATAAACTTTTATAAAAGTACCTATCAAAGGAGCTGTAAAAGATTACATGTACTTTAAAGTAAATATTCGTCAGTCGCGTTTGTACGTTTATATAAGTTACGCACCTCTTACATACTTACACATACCAAAGATACATTTAAAACTAAGAAGCTATGAAATTTATTTGTTATCTGTTATAAATATTAAAAATAACATTAATTCAAAAAATAAATAAACAATTGTTATACGGTATTATTATACTTTTTCTATAAATTATTATTTATATTTAATTAAAAAACATTTCTGATAAAAATAAAAAACTTTTAAATATCTGCAAAATATTTAATATCTGCCTCTTTGTTTATCTTACGATATCTGTCACTTTACAAAAAAAACAACATCAACAATATTTGTGCTTACACATAAATACCATAGAAATAATAATAAAAAAATATTTTTCATAGAAAAAGAATATTACAAATTCTAGGTAATGGAGAAAAAATGTTGCAGTTTTACAAATATCACATATCCAACCACAATATTGATTGTTCAATTTATATAAGGTGATATAGAACTTGGTTTTGAAAATTTGATGCATCCACTATATACTTTAAACTTTACATCGAATAGCTGCTGAAAATCAAATGAAAATTAATATTTAATAAAAAAAAATCTTGTTTGAAAATGTGCCGAAAATGGCAGATACCTCCTTTATGTATTGGTGGCATATAATCAATTAATTGTAAACCGTATTCGTAGATATAACAGGCATACATATAACAGACACACATTTAAGAATATCGAGAATATTGTTGTTGTCAATTTAAGGTCAGCTATTTGCAGAACACTTTCGATATACATAAATAAATAGATATAATAAGTAAAAGTCAAAGTTACAGTTACAGTGAATAGTACCAAAAATGCTCAAAGGAAGAAAATAACAAAGTCAAAAACCTTTTTTCCTTCTACCATATAATAAATACACTATATTTTGATTGTGATTGAATATAGATACTGTGCCACGATGTTGCTAAAATAAAACTTGGCTGGGGATATACTTCAATCCAATAAACTGCGACCTTTTTTTTGGCTTATGGTAACAGTTTTGTATTTTAAATGCGATCTTATAATAAAGTTTTTAGAATTTTATACAAAAATGTATTTATAAATATTAAATTTTTTTTCTATGGTTAACATGTTTTCGATGTTTTATATTTCAATTAAGATAGCATTATGGTTCAGTTTTTTTAATTTCATAATGCAGCGTGTTCTCTTTTTATAGGTTTTCATTATCTTAATTTAAACGGGTTATGTACTTGCAACGTATAAATGTGTGGCCAACTACTGCGCACACCTAGCGGCTGAAATTCGTTGGTGCTACTGCTAAAAATGGAGAGACGAAATGTAATAGTACAATGATCTGTGCTGCAAATTATAACGAACAACTAAGTGTTTCGGCAAATCAACATGTTGGATTCATATGCATTCAGTTGATATTCGAATAGAACAGAATAGTTACTCTCATACTTATTTTGTTCACACACTGGTTTTATTTTTGTCGCCCACTTGACGACAGAAATTTGTAAATGCAATTGCTTAAAAGGGAAAGAAGAAATATAATAAAAATGTTCTGCGATTTGTGCTGTAAACTTATGAGCACAACTGACAACTAGAAAACTAAGAGAAGAAAATAAATTGAGTTTTCATAGACAATTCTATTTAATTGTCTTTGCTAAAACTTTAATATTTAAAATTATACATTTGTTATATGTAATAAATTATATTATTTCTGGATGTAAAGATAATTTAATGAAGTTATATATATTATTAGACATTTTGCAAATAATGTTAAAGTATGCGTCGCACACCTCCGCACCTTAGAGCAGGCAATGATGTATACGCTCCCAAGCACTTGAATAGGGATAAATATTTTATTACGAATACACAAATATTTTACAAAGGCAAACAAAGTAAACCAATAGACAAATATTTTTTTATTGTTCTCTCTGACCATCTCTTGATAACTAATTTTTAGTTCTTGTCCCTATTATAGTGCTGTATATTTAAAAAAAACTATGTTAATTTGAAAGCTTTTTTTTTATTTTTAATTCAATACAAAATGAAATATTGAATAATAAAAAAATATTTGTCCAGTTTATTTATTAGTTTAGTTAGTTTATATTCCACAGGTGTATTGCAACAATAAATTCTAAAGTTAGGATTTCATTCATAACTGCTTCACAATCGGTTAGAGTTTTAGATTCATCAGTTCATCAGTTCATCATCAAATTGCCAAAAATATCGCTTTTACTGTTTCGATTCTACTCTCCTACCTTGTTTGAGAGTGATTTTTAGCTAATTTTTAATTTAGTTTCTAGAAGTTTTTACCAACGCTTGCTTGACTTTGAAAAAAGCACAAAGATTTTATTGATAAACCCGAAAACGTTTTGGCTATTGTAGAAGAATTACCTGCGTCAATCAGAAACAAGCTCTAACTTTGGCACCCACAAGACGTAAAAAATTCCCTTGGATCGATATTCAGGATATTCGTCAACAATTGTCTAAAAAATTAATATAATTTATTCATTCTGGATGCCGTGACTAAAATAATGTTGAGTAACAGGTGATGCAGGTGATCCCGTAGTGTAAGGTTGTATTTGAATAACAACTAGATCTATGAAATTACTACTTTTTACACTATCGTCCACGTTTAAGGATTCTCGATGAGCTCTAAATGGTAAATTATAAGAGGTTAAGAATATTATTATGAATGTTGCGCCTGATAAAGCATTCACTGTTGCGCCTAACCTGATTACCTCTATTGTTAAGAGATGCTCTTATTCACGTAATAAGAGACAAACAAAATAATTTTTTCTCTGGTAAGTGAAGTTAAGATTTTAAGAAATATGCACAACTTTTTGCAAGGCTCCTATGGACACGAGGCCGCCACTGTGTACAAAAATGGCGTTGTGCACAAATTGCGTTCTAGGCTTAAATAAATTGCCGAAATATAGCTCAAGCAACGATCTATTAATAATCAAAAAGGCCATATATCGACTTCCCGAAAAATATGTCGGCTGATTATATAAAGAATCTATTTAACACGCTTTCAAATTGTGTAAATCACTGTTTTGAACGGAAAAGGACTATTTTTAAATAAACAAATAGAGTTTTTCTAGAAAATTTTTTCACTGATGTTATTAATGGAAAGTTCTGTTTACTTTGAAGTGCTTGTTCCATATTAAAGATATTCAAACGTTATTTGTTTATTTTTAGTTGATAAGAATGCTAAAGTGAAAAAATAAAAGCTTATAGATTATCGCGGCGATAGTTATATAGGGTACTATATAATAATAAAAACAAAAATAAAAACTACGCTGTTAGTTTTTATTATTTCACTTCCACATTTTTATCAATTAATAATAATTAACAAAATGACTTACAATTACTCTAAATTTGTTCGTTGTTCCTTTACAGAACGTACAGTAGATAATTTTAATTACTTTATGTTTGGAAAATAAAAGTTCTTCGATTTAAATCAAATTTTTAAAAAATCAAGGATACACTTAAAAACAAAGTATCTACAATACATTTACTCATATCATATTTTCATAACGTAGAAAATTATTTTATTTGAATGTTCAATCTTAAGCAGTTGTAACCAAGGGATTTTTCAATTCGATTGGAAATAATTTTTTTAATAAAATGAAACTGACTCTCGTCTTAATTTATGATAACACACTATAACTTCAGCCTATTAAGAAACTATTTCTTTACGTTAAATATATACATTCAATAACTTATTAACGTAAAAAAATTATCGATTCTCGAAAATGATTGGTTTTCAAAACTTTCAGTTTTCAAAACTATATAGAGGACCAGTTAGTGTTTACTACATATAGAAAGTTTTTTGAAGACATTGAGGGAGCAGTTAGTAAGCGCGGCTTATTTCTTTGCAATGCTAAATAAGAATTCACAATTCAAGAGAGTTCAACATGTAAGAATTTAAGATTTTTCTTATATATTATATATGTTTTATATTTAATATAATAATAAAAACAACAAAATTAGTTTGGCTGGATATTACATTATATGACATTTTTTTTAAGTTGTTCATATAAGGAATATTAATTTAAATAATTTTTTTATAATAATTAAATATACTTATTTTTTCTGTTTAAAATCATCACCAGAAATTAGACCATTTGTAAATGAAACGTTAGGTACATAAATTTGTTCTTGTAGTTTGAGATTCATTCGATGCAAAACGAATTGAACATTGTTTTCGTTTAATTCCTTAGCAACAGCACTTAACATATCTACAAATGTAGCATCGAATTGCATAAATCGATGGCAATCCAAAACAATGGGGAAGTCATTTCTGTACAAAATACATGCTGATCGTATTCTGCCACGTAAATAGTCCACACCGCTGTAATAAATATCAGAAAGAGGCATGCAGTATACGTAAGTCACTCCATCGGTCTGGTAAAAATTATTTTATGTTTATTAACGTCTATAAAAATGTAATACTTTGAATACATGTAACTTACCTCTGTTAAGAAAATATCCACCTTTGGATTACCCAAACGTAAAAGAATAAAAATCATATTTACAATAATTCCAAAGAAAAGTCCCATTTCTACTCCACACAATAAGCAAACAATGAAACAACCTATCCAACTGAAAAAATCTTTTTTGTTAGACCTCCATAGGTTTTTAATCGGCGAAAGATCAATCTAAAAATAATTAAATACAACATACATATGTTAAAGGCTTATGTGAACAAAATATATTATAAAAAAACTAAAATATAAAGTTTTAATCAGGGACCGAAAATAACAGTTATTTTAAAATTTTTTATGAAAAAAAGCAGCAACAAAAAGTTGTCTAAACTCTTATTTAAGTAAATAGTTATCATTCTAATAACTTTTATCCTTAATATTATGCATGCTTTTTATATATGAGCTTTTTAAAATAAAACTCAAAAAATAATAATTAAATTTGATTTTTATTATATTCATCAAAAATAATAATTATTATATGCTTTTTATTTTTTTCGCGCAGAAATAACTCTTAAAATTTGCTTCTTATTTTAAAACGCACAAATAACTGGTATACTTGCGTTATATAATATAAAAAGCAAGAGTATCGCGCAAATTCTGCGCGATATTTTTAAAATGAAAATATAAAATGCAATTTTCATACAAGGTAGTTGTTTTTGCAATTCCATAGAAAATGTTTGAAAAGGTTGGTGCAGGTAAAGATTTAGTTCAGTTTTTTGTTTTTGTATTTTACATACAAATTTGTTCTCCTACAAAATACGAATGTAAATACAAAATATAAATGCAAAATACAAAAACAAAAAAACTGAACTAAATCTTTACCTGCACCAACCTTTTCAAACATTTTCTATGGAATTGCAAAAACTACCTTGTATGAAAATTGCATTTTATATTTTCATTTTAAAAATATCGCGCAGAATTTGCGCGATACTCTTGCTTTTTATATTATATAACGCAAGTATACCAGTTATTTGTGCGTTTTAAAATAAGAAGCAAATTTTAAGAGTTATTGCTGCGCGAAAAAAATAAAAGGCATATAATAATTATTATTTTTGATGAATATAATAAAAATCAAATTTAATTATTATTTTTTGAGTTTTATTTTAAAATGCATATGATAACAGTTATAAGATGATTTTTATTTTTTTTATGATAACTGTTACGGTCCCTGGTTTTAATTTGCTCTAAGTTATTTAATAACCCCCTTGAGGAAGAATTTGTAAAAACTAGAACGTAGTCGGTGTTAAATATAATATAATAATACCGCTTATTACAAATAATAACTTTATTATTGAATTTGCAAAAGCCCTGCAATTTGTAAAGAATATAGGTAAGTTCTGAAATTTAGCAGGAAAAACAAGTCTATTAATTGAAGTCATATATAATAACAGTTCTCAAAGAAGTTAAACTGTACAATTGTATAATAGGTGTATTCTTCTGATATGAATATTCCAATAGAACAACTCCTGGTTGCTTCAGAAAAACTTGGCATCACTGCCAAAATCAATGAACATATGACAAGTAAAACAATTTTAAACAAATTTGTGTTTGATGAATTTGTTTGTTTGATAAAACAAATGTTTATAAAATGAATGACAAAAAATTTATTGGTGAACATTTTATATTCGATTTGTATTTATATAAAAGTATACATATTTTTAGGATTTATCCATGATGACGTATAAAAATAGTGAAATAAGGAGGATACAAAGAGCGTGACGCATTGACCAAATATTTGAAATTCTCTGTCATTTGACTAAAATTTCCCATTTTTTTCGAAAAATCATTTACAAAAGATCAAATTTAAGATTTCGCGCCATTGTAATGTCTGTAGCTTATTTGTTAAGCAATTTCAGGAAAGTGGGCTTACTTTATCGAATTTTATTATTGTTTTGCATGTTAATTTTTAAGAGACACGTGTTCTATTGGAGGATTCATGTCAAAAGAATACACCTAATATGAAAATCAATCGATTATAATAGCTACGATGATCTGATCAATTGAGACACGAAGCAATAACAATACGATGAAATAACTACCCAACAGCTTATACCCAGCAGGCGAAAGAATCGATATATCAGCGATAATGCCGATACTTTGAAAGTAATTTTATTGATTTTATTGAATAAAATATTGCACAGAGAACAGAGACGTCTTGTGAATTTAGGCATATATGTTAAAACTATCAAATGGATAAAATTGATTAAACAATTAAACAATTTGTGGGGAGGTAAAGATGTAAAGCTTTGATAATACCAAAGCAACATTTCTCTTATATTTTCCTTATATTTAGTTTTTAATATTTATATTTGTATTATAGTCAATTTCTTCTTATATCAAAAATACAACTCAACATTCTAATACCGTTTTTATTCGACACTTTGTTGTTTTTTTAAGATACAGAAAAATTTTACATATACAAATATATTATATGAAATGAAGTTGTTGGAAAAACGCTTATACAAAAATAATAAATATATATGAAATTTCTCGTTTTGAACTTACCATAAACACCACTGCAGCAATTAGCACGGCAGACAACGTAGCTTTAGGTATATATTGAAAATATGGTGTTAATATGCTCAACGCCGATATAACAATTAAACCTTTAAGTGAATTACTTATATATAGTCAATGTATTATTTATAAATTATATATTCTCAATACCAGTATATATTCCAGCCATAGGGGTTCTAACGCCGCTAGATTGGCTTACAGCTGAACGTGTAAATGCGCCACAAGTTGGCATAGCACTGAAGAGAGAACCAACTAAGTTACAAAGACCGAGTGATAACATTTCCTGGGAAGCATCAAGTTTTGCATCCTTTACTGTCGATGTATTTATGGAAACATGAAAATATGATAGTAATTTATGTAAAGCAAAAAATTGATTTTCAATATAGATTGAACCAAGCGTACCAAAAGCTTTGGCTATAGCGACATTAGCCAGCACTGCAACTATTGGCACCACCACAATACCGCTTCCAAGTTCCCGAACAATGTCCGAGAAAACATATGTCACATTATTGTAGTTAAAAACAAATGGGGGAAGTTTTAACGTAATAGCAGCTGATTCTACTTTAGCGGACAAAGCAAATGGTATGGCTTGATATGATCTTTCTTTAATCCAAATGAAACTAATAATAGCGCATAAGAAAACTGTAAGTGCGTTTCGAGAAATGCTTATATACCAGCACAGCTTCTTTAGTTGTTTTATTTTTCGACCGTTGCTTTTAAAATTTATTTGCGATAGTTGCTTTATTAGGAAACACAAAATCGAACAAGAACATATAGATTCATATAATTTAAATTTCAGTATACTTACTCTCAATGTTAAAAGAACAATGATACATATAAAACCCATTATTGCATCTGATATATTAATCCCATTTATAAATTGTGATGGGGACGGTATACCTTTGATTTTAATTCCCAATAAATTCTTTATTTGTGCAAGAACAACTATTGTAGCTGTAGCAGATGTAAACGCCTTATTTACTGGGGCTGGTATAAAGTTGACAACGAATCCTTTATTAAAATGTTAATTATTAACTCAAAATAACTTTTTATACGTTTATATAGTTTAGACAATTGAAGTTACCACACCTAATTTAAAAACACCCATAAGCAATTCAACAAGGCCCGCCAAAAATGCTAAAACGATAGTAAATTGTATAGGTTTATCGGCGCAAAACTGCAGGACCATCAAAGCCATTAAACTAGTTGGACCTATTGATACTTGTGGCACAGTTCCGAAGAAAACATATATTATCGAGCCTGTAACGAATTGAGAAAAGTAATGTACATGTGCGCATTATTACCGAATATTTTTATAATTATGGTATAATTATGTACCCGCAAATGCTGAATAAAGGCCATATTCCGATGACAATCCTGCTAATGATGCATACGCTATACTTTGCGGTATAATTGTTAAACCGAGCGTTAAACCAGCAATGAAGTCCGCAACAGCTTTGTCGCGGTCGTAACTCCTTATCCATGTTAGTATAAATATACGACGAAACAACCAATGAGGTTCCTCAGGCTCTGCATATTGTGCTGCATCAGTAGAAATTATTTTGCTTTCTAAAAAATCACTATTCAAATTCTTCTGTCTCTCCTCGGCAGCTAAAATTTAAAAAAATTGTCTTAAAATAGTTCTTTTCATATTTGAAATACAATTTCTAATTGGAATTATTACAATCGCAGATTGTACTTATGCCACGCCGTTGATCTAAGCTCTCATTTCGCATTTGATAACTTTGTTTCAAGCTTGAGCTCGTTTTTTTCTGTCTGTGAAACCAGAACGAATGTCTCCCGCAGAATTTCATTTTGAACTGCGGTTATTATTTAGAAAAATATAAATTTAGGCGGAACGCAGTTCGTAAAATAAATAAGTCGATTCCGGTTTGAGCATCAACAATAATATTTTTTCACACATTTTTATTTTAATTAGCAATACATGGGGAATCCCTTGTAATTTAGGTAGCAATCAATTCAATTTGAAAATTTTATGCATGTGTACGCACGATGACTCAGAATAATTAAGTTCAATTTCGTTTTTGTTTATGGAATTAACAAGAAATAATGTATTGGGATTTGATTATAGTTATTTTTACATTCTGATAATTATGATCTGTTACTATCAGCACGATGAGAAATCGAGAAATTTGTCTATCCCACTCAATAATGGCTTGGCAATTTCAAGAAATAGGTAATTTAATAGCAATCCTTTTGATCCTTTTGCTTGTATTGATGGTAGCATGATAAAGAAATCAAATATTTCGAAAAGTGAAAAGTGCTTGAACAACTATTATTATTTTGCATTCTTGTTGTTAGAGTGGTCAAAAAATTAACGGACATATACAAATGTATAAGACCCAAGATGATGTGGATCAGAATAGTGCACTAACACTGCCTTTACTATAGGAACTTTAGACATATATAAGCTCACACCCGCTTACTACAAAACGGTACATCAACTTGTTTGTCTGGAAGAGTCCCGTTTGTACTTTGGTGCTCTGAATTTTAAGAGCCAAACTCTGACACTTTTACTTTGGCTACTAACAAAGAAACACGTTTTCGTATTTTAATTTTATTAAATATTAATTATTTTATTTTATTCTAAAAATCCTACCAATATATATACATGTAACCCGGTTAAGCAGTAAAGTAGGCAAGCAGTAGATACAGCAATAGTCGAAGTTGAACAGCCGAGGCCAGCAGTCAGCAGTCAAAAGTTACGGTCGTTTATATTTAATTATATTATTTGTAAACTATTAATCTAAACTATTACAAATAAGGTGTTGTAAATTATTAATAAATAATTGAGTTTATCTTTTACATACTTATCAACAGTTGTGTAATTGGTTAGCAAGTTGAAGGTATGCGGGGATGCTGACACCCAAAATATAGTCACATTGCTTTCAGAATATCGACATGAAGGCAATACCTTCAAAAAAAATCTATTATTATTCAAAATGTAAATCCAAAAGAAGTCAGCTGGACCGAGGTACGTAAAGCAAAGTAAAGTTCGATTAAAAGGCAATTTCAATATAAAAATAAATTCTAAGAGAAATACTTAAAATGTGAATTTTTTGGGCATAAAAAAGTGTGAAGAAAGTTAATTTACTTAGTAAAGATGACATCGTTTCATTGGTTCATAACCTATTCAATCGACCATATCTTTTTTGTGTGAAATTATTTTTTATTGATTCAAATTACAAAAATTTGTGGAAATAATCAAAATTTCAGAATCCATTCAATCTAGCTTGATGCTATCACCTATTGCCTTGACTTGACCTTACTCTTCAAAATGGCCCAGATGAAATAAGCTATCCGATTAGTATCTGGCGAATTCGAAGGTTATTGTATGAACGAAATGAAGTATGGATCTATTCTTAGTTCATACGATCTTTATGTGACCGCGACTGGTGCCGAGTCTTGTTGAAACAAAAGTAACTTCCAAAATATTTTCCCGATAATAAATCGCATTGACTTTGACGCCCTCGATTGGAGGGCGTATATCGGCTGTCACATCTTTCCATACCATTGCAAGATGGAAAATTAGTTTGGGTGGCCATTCGTTGTTTCAAATTTTAGGCAGTGCGTACAGTTAGTAAACACGATCATTTTCACGATCATAGTTCATGAACTGTTCAATGAGAAAATTTTTCTCATTAAAGAACATAATGTTTGGAAATTCGCCACGTTCGTGCAAGCGTAACAACCCCTTTGCTCTTTCCAGTGTATATTTTTGTTGCTTTGATATGAGATCATGTACGTTTTGAAACTTGTAAGGCTTTATCTTGAGTTCATTTTGGAATATGTGTCGCATGCTTCGCTGGGATATTTTTCTATGGCTTTTCTTTGGTTCTTTGGCCATTTGATTACCACTAAGACGTGGATTTCGTTTAAGTAGTGCTTTTACTTTTCGAACCATTTAAAGTGATGCTGCTTTCTTTTTTCGTGCAACAATGAGCTCATGAACAATAGTTGGTTGTGATTTTCTGGCCAAATATAACGCAATCAAACTATTACTTTTGAATTTAATTTCGAATAACTTTTGTTCTATAAAACTTAGACGCAAATGCTTGTGATAGCTTGTAAACAATATAAACAGCTGTCACTTGTATGAATTTCATGTAGTTGACAATATTTGTTTGACAGATATACCTATGCGTAACTGATAACACTTCAATAACCCTGTATCAATACAAATAGTAATTACCATTGGCGATCTCTGCATGTTTTGATTCGTAATTTAATGAAAAATATATTAAATTCCTGTAAATTATATATGGATGTTTCTTGCTCCTATATTGGCAAAACAAAAATTCTTTTACAAAAATAAATATAAAAATTAGCATTCTAAATTAGTATAACGACAGTTGCCATTATACATAATACTTTAGAATTATCTTTAGAATGCGTATCTAAATAGTGCGCATAAAAAAAACTTAAAATGCCTACGTTTATTTATTTCTGTGACTTAGGCTTAATGCCTGCACAATTACGCAGAATGTTTATTTTTAAAAGTGCAAGTATCTTGCAAAAACGATATCAAATATATTCAAGTATATATTTTGCTTGCAGCTGGCAAACAAAAACAAAGTGATGCCTTGCTGGGTGCCTGGCCACACAGGAATCAATGGTAGAGAGTCTGTCGACAGTCTTACTAGGTCAGCATCTGTCACTAAAATCTGTGTACCGGAGCCATATTGTGGATTAAGTTGGTCTACAACTAGGTCTCTGATTGATAAATGGTTTTCAGCCAAGAGAATTCACTACTGGCGTGACATTTCAGGTAAACGTCAGGCTTACGAGCTGGTTCATCCCTACAGTTATGGGCAACAGAAAAGAGTTGAGGTTGCTGGTGGGATATTTAATGGGTCACCATGGACTGCGTTATCATCTTAACAAAATGGGTTTGTCCAAAGAGATATGTTGTCGACTCTGCTTAGAAGCAGACGAGACTTCCAGTCACATTCTCTGTGACTACTTGATGACTACAAGGTGAGATGAAAAAACTGCAACAAAGTAAAACGCCATAATTTTTTCATTTTTTTTAAATTTTACTGAATGAAAGCAAAAAATGTCGGAAATAACATCAAATTTGAGAATCGGTTTAGATTTGTTCGAATTGGCCACCTTTGGCACGAACTATGGCCTTCAAACGGCCAATGAAACCATCACACGCTGCCCGAAAGTGGCTCTGCGGTATTTTGTCCCATTCTCGGCGAAGCGCTTGCTTGAGATGATCGCCACTTTGGTATTTTTTAGTTCCAACCTTGCTTTCCAAAATACCCCAGGCACAATAGTCCAACGGATTGGCATCCGGAGATTTTGGTGGCCATTGTGCGGTGGAAATGAAGCGAGGAACCTCATTTCTTAACCATTCTTGGATGGCGCGTGCTGAGTGCGATGGTGCTGAGTCCTGTTGGAATGTCCAAGGTCTGCGGCCGAAATGTTTGCGTGCCCAGGGCTTCAGAACTCCCTCCAAAATATTTTCGCGATAGATTTGCGCATTTAATTTGACACCACGGTCGATGAATACGAGCGGCGAGCGACCATCGGCTGTTATGGCGGCCCACACCATCACCATGGCCGGCTTTTGAGTTGTGATGGCCAACCGAAGTTGCAAATTTTCAGCTGACCTCTCTGGCAAGTAAACACGATCATTTTGTTTGTTTACAAACTGCTGGATAACGAATGGTTTCTCATCGGAGAAAACCAAATTCGGCAGTTCACCACTTTCGGCCAAGCGAAACAACTCTTTAGCTTTTTCGAGTCTAACTTTTTTTTGCGCATCAGTAAGATCTTGCACTTTTTGGAACTTGAATGGCTTTAGTCCAAGCTCATTTTTCAATATTTGCCGAATGGCATATTGCGATATGTTCAGCTCACGAGCCATTTTTCGTCCACTGCGACGCGGATTTCGTTCAATTCGCTTTTTCACTTTTCGAACCATTTCTGCCGATGTTGCTGTTTTTTTTCGTCCACTTCCTTGACGTCGGGCTACGCTACCAGTATCATGGTAACGAGCGATGGTACGAGACACAAAACATTTATTCACTTCTAAATGCTGGAGGGCTCTAACGATAGCCACTTGTGGTTTTCCAGCCAAATGCAAAGCAATCACACTATCACGCTTGAATTCCATCACAAATAACTTTTTTTTTGAAAAATTCCCACCAAAATGCTTTTGTGCGCTTGTAAACAATATAATGAGCTGTCACTAGAATAAATCTGACAGCTGTGGGACGAGCGGTTTAGAAATGACAGCAGTCTGAAGTTGGTTGCAGTTTTTTCATCTCACCTTGTACTTAATTTCGTCATCTGGCTATTGAGGCAAAGTTAAAGACGCTTACGAGGCGCTTTAGAAAATAGATGCTTCAATGCTATAGGATGGGAATAAGAAATTTCTAGAAAATTTCTAGAAAATTCTTAAGAATTTTAGAAGCCATAATTCGATTGGTTAATTTTAACAAAATCTTTAAGATTTTGTAAATGATTTAAGTCATTTAAAAGATATATCTCAGTCTAGAGTTGAAGCTATTATGAAAAATCATAAAAAATCTTTTTAATTAAGACAATTAAAACGACATTTCGCGTGTGCTATTGTCAAA